AAATCAAGATGAATTGTGTCTCTCTTTCTCCAGTGAATAAACAAAAACTAATAGTCTTCCGATTAGAGCCGGCCAAGTCAAATAGCTGACCTTGAATTGTGTATTGTTTTTTATTTTTTGAAAAAAAAAAATTTTAATAAATTACTTAGGTTAATGAAAAAGTACAGTCCTTTAGTTAACCGATCTTTGTCAAAGTAATTATTTACTAGGTCAAAATTACGCATTCAAATAGTTAAAGTTAAATTTTTAGTTAATTAGTGGTGTGACAAAAGTAGAGTAAAATATATATGAACTTTGTGTAAGAAGTTTTAATTGAGTGTATTTGGGTTATATATTTAGGATTAGTTTTGTCACATTATATATTAATTATAAAACAATGTGTTGTAAACATTTCAACTTTCAATATATTATTTCGTTCAATAATTTTTAAATTTTTTTTTATGTTGAAAATACATTGAAATATAAATACGTTAAAAACTGCTACAATACACTACAACAGTAGATCAGAGACTCCTGATTTTTGGTAGTGGTTCCAACTTACGCAATGGCTTCAAAATTATATTTGCATGATTTACTTGTCTCAAGTAGGGTATCTATTTTCTAGATATTATTAATTATAAAAAATAAATGTGTTATTTTTTAGTTGGGCTGATTGGGCCTTAGACATTGATCCTTGCTCACCAGAAAATGGATTAGCCCATAAAAGAATAGCCTAGGCCTGGCTATAACAAAAATCTAAGTCCAATAATGGCCTAGGCCGGCCCAGATCAGCCAGCAGACCTATAACCATTAGGCCGCCGCCCATTCGGGAACTGAGTGCTATCGAGTAAATGCTCCTCTGTTAAAATATTAAGGTGCAGAAAAATGAAGCACCCATCTCTATGAGAATTATTATTGTGGATTAAAACATACTATTGAATGCTATATATATTGACATAAAAAATAGAAAAATCCATTAGAAAAACAAATTTGGCTTTTGGGTAATGATCAGCTATTTTTTCTTTCTATTTTTTGATCTCTAAGTAAATATTGTAGTAATAAAATCCATGGTGATATACTTACAGGGGAAAAAAAAATCCAAGGTGATATATCATATTTATACCTTTTTAGCATAGTTAAATTAATGAAGCAGAAAGACTTGCTTCATTAATTTTTTTTTTCTTAGTCGATTATATATTTTCTATTACTTAATTATAGTTATCTAATATTTCTTGGTAACTAAATTGCTTAATTAGTTAAAAGAAGTGTTGAGCTTGACTGTCAATTAACTGAAATAACAAGATTTCAAATCACTTTCTTATTATAAAAATGTATATGCAAATTGTGTTATCAGTCAAATAAAAATAAAATAAAAACTATTGCAAATATATACATCTACATATTATCCATGGATGGAATTATGGAAGTGGATTTTGTTGTCAACAGTAAAACTGACACTGTGTGGTGGTTGAGAAGTGTAATACATTGTGAGATTGACTTAACAAACTCACCTATTAGTGGTTACTTTGCTTTAGTATATAATTCTAACAAAGTAACAAGTGCTAGAAAGTTGTCGAGATTGAGAACAGTTTGCTTTATACAAAATAACCCTAGAATTCAGATTTTTTTTTTTTTTTACCGATCTTTGTGTAGAGGTAGATCCCCTCATGTAATGACATTATTTTGGTGCACACGTACACGCTAACGAAAATGCGTGTTGTGACTTTTTGTGGGTCACTTTAAACTCTGGCATGAACGTTTTAGTGCACAGAATCCCTCCAAACAAGAAGGAATCGTGATTCTTTTTACCTGTTAACATTTTTGTCAGCGAGATAATGTTAATTTTTATTTTTAAAATATCTTAGATATGTTTCTTTCAAAGCCATCCAGAATGTGAGTTTTAAGAAAGAGAATGAGTGTGACATTTCACATTATCAAGAAAAGAAGTTAGTTACGAACAAAAGAAGATGTCTTCTACTTATGTAGATACATTTTAAAATCATAAATGTTTATATTTATGAGGAATATTCTCACTCAGGTAAACGGCTCAGAGATGTAGAGTTTCGATGGAAGGAAAGGTGAGGGATCGTCCATAATTGTAGATTTCTGGTCAAAGAAACATCTTTTTATCACTTGATCAAACGATCATGCTTCAATTATTTCCATTTCTCTCACAAATTTTGTCCCAAGAAAACAAATCATTCTTTTGGAGAAAAAAATTAAAAAACCCAAATCATTCTTTAACTTCGCTTGTTAGAAACCCAAGAACAATCATTCTTTAACTTTGTAATTGAAATATTTAAATATAGGGTGGTTGATTAGTGGACCATCTATTTAACTTAATCAAATCACATAATTCCCAATCAAGGCCTTAAAAGTTCATTTCTTTAAAGAAGCTTCTCCCTCTAACACCAATATATTATTGCAAAACCATGGTTGGTGCTTCCAATAATGATTTCACCCTCTTTTATGCTATTTTGTTCCTGTAAAATAATATATGTTTCAAGTGTCACTATACACATTGTCACTCCACTCTCTTCACCAACTGTGGACTAAACTTTGACCAAATTAACAGATACAAACATCACAGTTGATGATAAATATGATTAATCATAAAATCACAATAAGATAAAAAGTAAAAAAATATGTTATTGTCTCCTCGATCACCAAGGAAAAGATTAGGATAAGATCTCATCTAATTATATATATAATACTTTGGTTAATAAGAACACCACTTTTATTATTTCTATGTTAGTGTCACACTTTAATTTGATTTATTATTTCTAGCCGCGCGACATGCGATGCTGTTTTGCTAAGGGCTCTTGTGACCTTGTTTAACCGAAAGTTTATTTTATTTTATTTTATTTTTTCTTTTTCCCCATATCAGCAGTTTTGATTTGTATAAGATCACTGAAAAATCTACATTTGACAATATATAATGTTTAAAAAAATGTCTCTGTAGTGTCTGTAGGTAATATCAAAGATTTAGATAAGATTCCACATTACCTTGGGGGAGGACCACCATCTTATAAAAATGTGATGATATCACTCCATTCAAATTAAAGCCAGAAATTAGGGATGGTTGAAAATGAGAGATAGCAAACTAGTAAAGTCAGCAAAGATATTGGTTTAGTGAACTAGTCAATTATGTAGTTCTCTTATTTAGGGTGTCCGGAACTTCGCTACGACTAATTCCCAAGGACTCAAGAAAGTCGTCTCCCCATTTCAGGCCGAGTAAGTCGCAAAATATGGCCGCAGAAGCATAGTCTAAAGAAAATTATTTGGACCCAATAGGAGTCGGACGTCAAACCTAATGGTTCATGAAGCACCAGAGCCAAGTGACCTTGCCACTGAGCCAATCCCTTGGACTTTTCTAATAGTTTAAGTTTATAGTATAGATGGTGTTTAACACGAGAGCTTAAATATATATAAACATTAATATTATACCATTTTTAATAGCTTGAACTTCTAAGAAATTAACCTATGGCTTAAGGATCTATATATATATATTTTTTTGGTTCAAGCAAATCTATGCTCACTCACTATATACTTTTGCCTCCGCTAAAGCTCGAATGTTCCAAAGAAAAAAGAAAGAGCTTATACTATTTAAACTAGAGCCTATTGGTACATATGAAGTAAGGTTGGAAGCTTCATTATGCTTAGTATGGTATGGCTTTCTTCAATTAATAAGCATACACATGAGCTTCACTTTCCTACCTAAAGCCATGAATAAGAAGATACTGCCTAATGATGGTAAAACCAAATTAATGCTAGCCAATTTTAATAGGAAATTCATATTTCTACCATGAATATCATCTTTAGGGTACGGTAATCATAACTCCATCATAGATATGTTTTACCATATATTAAAATGCATGCTTTTATCATAAGCTACCTAAAAAGTTTTACATTATACTTTCTTATAATATTTTTTATTTCATTCACTTTCCTAACCCTTTGGTGGCTGTATGTATAATTAAGTGGATCTCTCCTATATGAAGCCAATTTTGATTTTCTGATATCTAGTCTTTTAGTCACTACCCATATAAGCTTCAAAAATATATATGGTATCTGTTATTGTGATTGTTATCACTTTTGCCATCTTTTCATCTTGTTAAATATATGGACTTATATATTAGAATATATGTTAACAATTATATGCATATATGGTTCAACTAACTAATCTACAAGAATTCTTGTTGATGCTAGATGGTATGATCTCACTTTTTCAAGAAAAAGATTTGAGTGTCGAGTCGTGAGGAATAATATTATGAATGTTAATACATTTACTTGAACTTTCGTAAAAAAAACATGCCAAATAACTGGGGAAAAGCACTTTAATTGTACATGCAAGTGACATTGAAAACATATTTGACCTAATTAATTCCACCAATTTAGGATCAGAACAAGAATCTTATTCTACCACCACAACCTTTAAAATGTCATGTCTCCCTTTTGAGTATACTCTTTATCTATTTATTCTGATATGATCCTTCCTCCCCCAATAGATCACAAAAATAAAATAAAGAATCAGTTATGCTCAGTGTAGATTTGAAACCGATAATTTCACCTCACCTTTTCTTTTCCTTTCTTTTCTTTTTCTCCCCTTATCATGGTTAATGACTAGTTATTAGTTTTTGTAGTGTTAACATATCAAATAAACTTTTATTTTTTATTTTTTTGGTATATCTATTGACTATATATATATATATAGTTAGCTTTTCTTTTTCTCCCCTTATCATGGTTAATGACTAGTTATTAGTTTTTGTAGTGTTAACATATCAAATAAACTTTTATTTTTTATTTTTTTTGGTATATCTATTGACTATATATATATATATATATAGTTAGCTACTTTAGATTCTCGAATAATTTACAAATTCTGGATGCAAACCATTCGAGAGTCCAAGTAAGTAACGGGATGATCATTCTTCTTTTAAAAAATTAAATTAAAAAAAAAAACTCATTCCCTTCCATTTAAACCCATAATATTGCAGAATTATACTCTCAACAGTGGCAAATTTATTACATTCAATACCTCATATATTTATATCAGCTAAAACATTGACATCATTGTCTACATGAGGCAGTTTAAACTGGCAAAGCATGAAATCATACATACATACATATAGTAGAAGGCCACAACAAAACATCATATTGAAATTCCTTTATATAAACTCACTTTCTTCCTCATGTGAACATTTTTTTTTTTTTTTTTTCTTCCACTCAGTTAAGTAGTATTTCACATGATGGAACATGCATTTGGGTTATCGTCACTGAAGAGATAGGTCATTCTCTCCTCAGGTGCATTCGGGGCAGGTACCGCCTGTGAAACATTGCGAACAAAGCCTGCAGGGGCCCTCTTGTCATAGACTTGAGGAACATAAGGATAGTAAACTAAGTTGTGTGGGATGTAAGGCCAGAATTCAGCTCTCTTTCCAGTACTCTTTACTTTCTTTAATACCTTGTTTGGCTCAACATAGCCACTAACTGTTACCCGGCTTTGTTTTCGATTAACCTCCACAGATTTCACACCTAAAAGCCAATGAGAGAGAGAGAGATTATGATAATATATATGAGATGATCAAAAGAAGTCCAGAAAGATCAAAAGTACATTTCAGTTATTAGTACGTTGAGGGTTAGAGATAAAGTTAGATTATACAATTCCAAAGAGAAATATATTCTAGTAACATATAAACAAAATAAAGTAGGGTTTGGGGTTCTTTGCTATCTATGTGATGGACTTTACGTATTAATTATCTTATCTGAGGTGTTTCCTTCAATTCCATGAGCATTTCTGACGTTCGTACATGTACAATTTGCTTAAATTTTGAGAATAAAAATAAAAAATAATTTTTTGCCAAGGCATAAGTTTTTCCTTTCCACTTAAAGCAACAAATCCTCAAAGCCCATTCATTAATTGACAAAATTAAATAAGCAGATAAAATCATACCAAAAGAGACCAAACCTAGACCTAAAAAAACCCATTTGATTAAATTTGACAAAGAAACAAATTTCAGTTCTCGACTTCTCACTGAACCTTTTCCTTTTTTCCTCCTTTCCTTTGCAGTAGTGCTAACCAAGGTTTTTATACACACACACTCACACACTTGTATATTCATCTTCCTGTGCACTGTTTCTCTTTATGTGCGGTTGTCATAACTGATAAAAACATTTTTAAGAAGTCTGATTCCTTATATTATGAATTTACAAAAAGTTCATCCGAATATATCCGGGAAAAAAAAATTGAGATTTAAATGCTGCTACTGCTAGCTATGGAGGAAAAAAATATATAAGTATGAAAGCTGTTGATAGAACTGTCACAATTACGGTTACTTTGGCAACTAACAATGTTGTTAACTAGTCTCTCCTCCCAAAAGGAGGTTGAGAGTTCGATCCTGCTAGGAGTAATATTGTGATTGTGTGTGTTTGGTTGAACTACGAAAACAAAAATACAAAAAAAAAAAAAATTAAAAAAATAAAAACTAACATTGTTGTTTGACTATAGAAGCAGTTGCTATATATATCCTCAACCAGAGAGATGAAAAAGAGCTTGAGAGAGAGAGAGAGAATCTAAAAGAACCTTTCATGGACTTAACAGAATTCTTCACTCTCCTTTCACAACCATCACAGTCCATTTTGACTTTAATCTCAACTGTCTGAAACAGAAAACATAACCCATCTCTCAGAAAGAAATATAAAGCAACTGAAGAAAGTAAAACCAGCAAAACACAAGTGTGTGTCTGTGTGTGTGTGTGTGTGTGAGAGAGAGAGAGAGAGAGAGAAAGAGTTCTACAAAGATTATACACACATGAAGCTAGTTGCCTGGAGCTAATGAGTACCTGCATTGGTTTGCGTTTGCCTCTTGTGGTGGTGACAGTACAAAAGTTAGAAAGATAATCAAGAGCACCCATTGCTTGTCTTTGGCCGAAAGCAAAGTACAAAGAGATAAATGGAAGAATTGGTATATATATAAGCTAGGTGGTTTGTGGGACTAAAGGAGATGTGTAAACAAGATGTCTATGGAATTTTTTTAACCAACAAAATGCCCCACAAACCATGATAATGTGCCTTGAAATCATGAGGGGGGCAACAATGCTTTTGGACTTCCCCCTTCATTTGTTTATTTTCTTAAGTTAATGGAAAAATGTTGTAAAAGTGCTTTTGTGTTTGCTTTCATTTTCGTTCAATGGGTGTGGCTTTGCTTTTCATTTATTTATCAATATATACCACAATAATGGCTTTGTAGCTTGATTCTATCTGAAGATTAAAGAGCTAACTGATCAGCGTAAGAGGCTTCTCCTGTCGTTTTAGAATTTGAAGAGGGTCAGATGTACGAAGCTTTACCTTCTTCTTCTTTTTTTAATTAACTCGGTGTGATCTCATAATTAATCATAACGGAACAACTTTACTATTACGCCAAGCCCTATCCTTCACCAAATTTCAGCAAATTGTTAGAGATTGAAAACCATCAAGATCTTGATATATAGTTGGTTTCTATTCCAACTAAAATTGTTTGCAAAATATTGGAGCAAATTTCTTAAATAATGAGCTAGCAGACCATGTTTCCCATATTTGAAATTAAGCTGGAAAAATATGCCCTCCAAACTTTTTTCAACACTTCAACTCCATACCTCAAATGATAACCATTGTTTATTTATTTTTTTATATATTGTTATTTCTTAAATTGTTGCACAATTCAAAATTTTGCATTGTTTTCTTCAATAATAATAATAATTATTATTATTATTATTTTGAGAGTTAACGCAAACACACACTCAGTACATATAACATGTACTTTATTATTTTGAACTCTCAACCTTTCTTTTAAGGAGGAAAGATTATACTATCCATAAATATCCGTGGTTATCTTCACTTTGGATTGAAGCAGGTGATTGTCTTCTTCAAGTTTCTTTGCAAACAATTTAAGTTTATTTAAAGTCACTAGAAATCAAAATTTACCGGAATTATGTGCCTTCTTCTTTGGACTCATATGTATTAGCTTCTTCAATATAGATTCCCCAACTATTCTTTTCTTTCCTCACAGCTTGTGAATGTCATTTGTTTTGAAGTAATTAATTATAGTCAAATGTTGTGTACAATACTTGAAAATTAGCTTAGTGTTGGAATTGTTGTTTTTCTTATACTTGGTTTGTATTGGTGAACATTACAATTTGTTTTAAAATAATCTCTTAAACATACCAAAGGTGCATTTGGATGCATTTCTAGTATGAATTTGTGTCAATTTCTCCATCATCAACTTCTTCTCAAATCTCAATTTACTCTAGGGTTAATTGCATAAAACTTTCTTCAGACAAAACTCCGTGAAATTACCCAAACTAAAATGGAAGAAAATATTCAACATGCTCAATTCACAAAAAGTCGTCCGACTTGCATAAAGAAACTACAATTTCTTTTTTATCATTTTTTCATTAGCAAGAAATACATTCCCACTAAACCATCCACCTTTTCCTTTGGAAGAGGAGAAAATACTAGTGAATTACATTTTCTATAATTGCCGGAACTTGTAAAGTGCAAGGAAATTTTTATTTTTTTATTTTTTTTTATTTCTTTGCAAATAAGCCTCTCCTTTACCATGTTATATTCTCTTTTCATTTTCAATTCTCTCTTCATTTTATCATGACATGTAGAAAGAGAGAGTAATAAACCAGGTGTACTAATATATAGAGGTCTCCTGTATATATCCCTAATGATCCAATGATTTCTTTGCCATCCATCTAGCTGCTTCTCTCTCTCAATCATGTCAAATTAAAGAAAAGCTTTCTTGCATATATAACTAATAATACACCACAAAAATGAACATTTTGAAAATTTACTGCATACGAGCAATCAGAAAAGCTTCTGCCGTATAAAGAAAATAAATATAAACTAAACTGCCATATAAGCATTGCCAAAATTTTCACTTCTGATCTCTCAAGTGTGGCTCATCAGAATACAGTTCTAATCCCTCAAATAAAGATGCAATGGGCTGTGGAATTAGCTGACCATATCAAACTCCATGCCTTCAAACCAGAGCAAATTCAGAATCCTCTCTCCCAGCCAAAGCTTTCCTTCTCTTCAAAGTATAACTATAAGGAGAAACCAGATAAATGTGTCATACATCAAATCTGCTTAATATACAAAATTAAAAAAAAATAATAATAATAATAATAATACAGTAAAGTAAACAAAATTTAAGGATATCCGATAAGTTACAATGTCAAGATGCTACCAGACTACCACTATACGTTTTCTTGCCCCGTGCCATATACATGCTATTAGTACTCTTGAATCTCGACACTAAGAAACACAATACGCCAACAATGTACGATAGTTGATAGATCACATCATTTGGTCACAAGAATTCGTAAATCTCGATATAATCATCCTTAAGTGTTGGCTAAAAGAAAGTTCTGTGTTTCATAAGCCATTTCCAAGAATTGTTTATAAGATGAGTTGTCCCATCAAGGGCAACATTCCTCTTTTACTTTTGTTCCAGCTACTGGACCAGCCTTGCATGAGTACAACTCTTTTTAGTTTCAACATAGAACAAAGTTGCATCAGCTTTTAAGTCATTTTAACAATGTTTTAAGTGTAGACCAGCCTTGCATAAAAACCAAACTTTTTATTGCCATTTCAGACTGGAAGCTTCTCTTTCGTACTGTAATGAACTGTCATCCCCTATAGTTTTTTGTTTAAGAATTTCATGTCTCCCATTGAAACTTTTAAGATTTCAAAAGTTTGTTCTAAAAAATCTTTCACAAATTTGTGAACCAAATAATATATTCTTTTACTCTAAGAGTATGGCACAATAGGACCACCAAGCCTTTGCTTAAGTGGTATATCCTCTTAAGGTTCAAGTCCCCTTGTGGGACAATAATGTGTGTGTGTTATTAACTTATAGCCAACAAAGAAGAGAGGGAAAATATATAATATATATGGAACAACGGGAGAACAAATTTTTTTTTAAAATTAATGCCAAAATAACCCCTCTTTAAACAAACTAAGGAAAATATTCACAATTAAGATTAATATATAGAAAATCCTTTTAAAATTAATGAGAGAGAGAAAGAAAGAGAGAACATATTGAATATTCTCAACCTACATCTTACTTTGCCGTCTAAACAAAATGCCTCCTTCATTGTAACTTCTTCAGCTTTTGACCTCGCAAACCATTCCAAAATGAAGCTGCACTTACCACTTTCTTACCAGGAAGCTGAACTTCCAGTACCTGAAATATCATCATAGAGCCAACATCAATAACAGTAACAAAGGGCATGCATTACGTCTTAACGTGTGACCATAACGAAGTGTGTGCCTGTTAAATGCATTTTAGTGCAAAACATATCTCTAGCCTGAATTCGTTTGGCTAGGACCAACACCTAAGAAAAAATAAACTCTTGACCCGCCCCTCCTTTTTAGATGTCATATCAGTATTTCATCGCTGTACAACAGCTTTGGCACAATTTGAGAATAGCGCTTAGGAAACAATAGAGAAAGGGACATATTTTGCTCATCATCTTGACTATTAAATGAATAGGCCCCAACTTAAAACATGCTTTAAAACAACTTCTTTTTCCTTACGACCATGTGCCTTTACAGAGCTTGACACTAAAGTAAAGGCACCCAAGCACACACACGAGCTCATAATCACCCCATAAAGCATTTCTTTTGGGTTTGAAAAATAATGGGGAAAAAATAAGGAAAAGCATCAACCATCAAAACTCAATTTTTATCATGCCATTAATACAGCCATAGGAATATCTTAAAATATATATATATATAGCATAAAACCTTAGAATGATTGCTCACCTCGAGCGTTGTGCACCCACCACATGGGAATACCAATGCACCTTTAACAAAATCCACAACATCTACTTCATTACGCTGAATATTTTCAGTGCTGCAAACTCTTGTAGTGATAATCTTAAGCTCTAGAATACTCCGTTGACCACTTTTGTTGTCAATAGCTTCAACTCTAGCACGGGTACCAGGCCACCCTGCAAATGCCCGAACCTAAAAGGTTGTGTGTCATTTCTACATAGTCAGATCAAGGGAAAAAGTAAGACTGTACCTTATTATGTAGGACTAAAGCTTCTTGATCAAAGGATAGCCACGACTCCTCAGGACTAATCTGCATAAAGGAAGCAATCTTAAAATTCAATAGTCTATATACAGATCCCTGACCCTAAATATAGAAAGTTGGCAAACTTAATTTATTGCAGCAAGCCAACAGAAGTACATATGATTCAAAAACAAACTTGAATAAAAGTTATTTCCATCTTTCTTAAATACCATATGTTGTCATCTGTCGCATAAACATTCATCCCCTATATCTGATATCTAGGAAGTACTCAAACAAGAAAAGGGAAGCAAAGGGCACGATGGAGGCAGACAGAGAATGAACCAGTCTAGAATTTTTAAGTTTAGAGCTCGTTCAGGAAGCACAGGTCTGAAAATGCAGAAATCTGAATATGCCAAAACGATGCAACATCAGTACGCCGATGCTCACACTCACAATAACATTAGTCTTTTTCCGACCATTTATTGAGCAAGCAGCCTAAGTGACAATGCAAAAATGAAGTACAAAGCTGACACTCATTAACCAAACAGTAACCCTTTCTACAGGACTGCCAGCAGCCTTTTAGCCGTTACCAGAATCAGTTTCAGGAAATCATTGTTTCAATTTTAAAATTTGAAATGCTTAATGCATGCATGAATAGTAATATAAAAAAGCAAACTTACTTGTAAACATTATATCACATATCAACTTGACCTAGAATTTTTGCAGGCTCTGTTAATATTATAGTTTAAAAAGGGTTACCTTTGGAGCCAAAGTAGCTTTAGAGTCATCTTGGGCTTGTGCTTTTGCCCTTGCTGATCCATCAAATATAGAGGGAAGCTCATGTATCAGAAGTTTAGATCCTACATTTATAGAATAAAATAAAATAAAATGGATCAGTTATATATAGTCATCTTAGGCTTGTGATTTCACCATTGCCAATCTGTCATATCCAGAGGGAAGCTCATGGTCACCAATCAAAATTTTATTTCCAACGTATAATAAGAGTGGATCGGTTGTCAACATGGATATTTAGATATTGCAAAAAGTCCTTGCCTTGTCATGTCTCATTTTTTAAAAATTCATCCGTGTCAACATATCTATTCTAAATCAACTGTCACAGTTCTACATTCGTGCTAACATAGCATGATGAAATTATTTCCATAATACATACTTAAAGTTTATTAACTAGCAAACAACAAAAACTCCATATTACAGAGCAACTTAAAAATAAAAAGAGGCAAAAATATGTCATATATTAGAGATGTATAGAAGTATAAAGTGAAACATTTATAAACTACAAGGATGTTTAAGATACAGATATTAAAAACAACATAGAGAATGGAATTCAATAGCCTACCCTCAGAAAACAGCAATGCAAGTAATTCCGGTGCCTGCAGGCAGCTCACCAAAAAAAAAAAAAAATCTTAGAATGTAGTAAATGCTAGTCAAAAGCAATAGAAAGATGTAATGATTAATTTAAGTTTAACTATTAGACCAGATGTTGTGTGCTTAAGAGAAACTTGCAGGTCAAGATGAAGCTAACTACTGCTGTCGAGAGATAAGTCAATGGAGACAAAAATTACTAATTGCAGTTTTATTTATCCACGTCTATGCTATACAGACTATTCTAAATGCTTGAAGAAATGTAAGATTGTACATAAAACTCTTTTATTATGTTCATTTTGTCACGAAACACCATTTCATCCTATGAAATAAAAGAAAATAACAATAAATATGAATATTTAGCCATATTCCTGAGTTCATAGGTCCGAGGATTTGATAAGTCAGACATTTAAACACAAATCCACACTCAACACATAATTGAGCTCTTGTAACATATATCGGCATTATTGTTAATTTATGAGATAAAATGTGATGGACTTGACTCTCGGAACCATCTACTACAAAAAATTTGTCCCATATGCAACTTATCATCTACTGATCAAAAAAACACCCGAATACTTGTCATATATCAAATGGAGACTGACATGAAAATGGACTAACTGAATTTCATCGTTCTCCTTCTATAACCTTCAGATAAAACTAATGACTCTAAATAATGTCATGCATACCTTAATCTGATCATCAACTTCCATTCTTTCACAGGCAATGATAGGTCCAGCATCCAGCGGGCGTACGGTGAATGCTAACGATACTCCTGTTTCTTTTACACCATCCTAGCATATAAATATATGATATTGTGGGTAGAACTCACAAAGGATACAATAGTATAGATAAGCATTCCAAATAACTAATATCAAAATTTCAATGGAATTAAGAACCTGCAAAGCTCTTTGAACAGGAGCAGCACCACGGTATAGAGGCAGCAGGCTTGGGTGTATATTGACTGTCCCTGGAAGATTACATTTGAACATGAGATACCGTAATAACAGGTTTCAAGTTTAGATGGTGGAAAAATCATATCAGACAAAAGAGAAGAACTCCATCCCCCAATGATCAAATCCATCTCTCCTCAACAGATATATACTGTTGGAATGGTGATGTGTTTGAGAGAGAGAGCACATATTGACTTTACATATAAAGTCCTTTCTGACAATGTCTTTGAATCAACTGGAAGCATGTTGAAATTAATGACACCTTCTGAAGTTATATTAAAATGCAAAGGCGTAAAGTAATTCCTAAAATAATGATTGGTAAATTCTCTCAACACATAAGTATGGTCGTAATGACTGTTCACACTATTCCAATAACAGGAAAGATGTATTCTACGTCATTATAACAAGACAAACTATATGATATCACAATCTTCAGTTTACGAGATTACTCCTAGCTTCAGTTCTGAGTTCTTGTAATATTAAAGGTTACAAATTTGTTACTGCTTACATGGGTAGACATTAGCAAGAAATGGAACTTGTCCAATAACTAAAGAATTTACAAATATTAACAAAATACATCAAGGTTTTGCTAATAAGTAGTTGATGCCTATACAACAAGAAGAAAAGTTGCGAACAACAACACATACAGAACAAGCTTTTATAAAAGTTGAAGCATAAGATGCATGAGAATACGTGTAGAAAGTGATTAGGTCAGATTCAAAAGTTAAAGATATTTCACAAGTTTTAGGTTATCAGGGCATGAACGTTAAGCAAATTTTCAAATGTTGTACCTAAATGTGAAGTAAAAATCATCAAAAAAAAAAAAAAAAGATTTGTGATCGCACTTTGTTAAGACAATGGTCTAAATCTCAAATTTATAGATTCTAACAGTCAATGAGTTAACGTATGTAAAAAATACTAATAATAAAATAAAAAAAACTAGCTCAATCGGCGAGACTATAAAGGTTACAGAATAACACAAAATATCAACTTTGATTTTGTTACAGAAATTGCATTGTAAATTTAAGTTTCAACTAACCCAGTGGCGGAATATTGAGAAACTTGCTTGGTAATATATTCCCATAAGCTGCTGTAATGCAAAGTTCTGGCTGCAAAGTTCTTAAACTGGACAAGAATGTTTCCTGCATAACCGTAGAATGAGAAATGAGCTTCCCAGAATATGTCAAGTACTTCAATGACATTGATATAAACAAATTACTGAACAGCCAAGGAAACATTGTTAGAATATCTAAATGCACGGCAGTGCATGGAAAACTCCCACAGAGAAGACTTGATTTGGAATGAGAAACAAGTGAGAGAAACCTTCGAGTCAAATGAAAAAGACTTATCAACCATAAGTACAATTACAAGTTTAAAGTCGAACACGAAATTTTGGTGTGCATGGATAATGATAACAAATAATACCCAGAAAACGTACCTACCTCACCAGCTCGCTCAGGCGTAAAAATCAAATCGGCAGGGAAGCTTCTATCAAGAGCATGCTGTGCAACTGGAGAAGGCATCACTTTTCTTCCCCTATCTCTTCCAGAAGGCGGCTGAGTAACAATTGCTGCGACCTAGACAGTATCAAATCATCAATAAAATGAGCAACCAGATAGAATCCACAATAATAATCCTTAAAACATCTTTCGCTCTGCAAAACATTACTTATATCGAGTCTATTGTGCCAAAAGGAGGAGGACCATAACTTAAAAGCCAGGTTATATTAGAAACTATGTAAAATTAAGCTCAAATCAAATGTAAGTTCATATGCAAATTTCAGGAACTTGATAAAAAATTTCAGCGGGGCTTGAATAAATACAAGTCAACATCGAGTTCTAATACAGTGCCATCATGATGAAGAAAGAACTGATCAACGAAACCATAATTTCCAGTTGAAGAATCATGTATACTACTGTAAATGATAAGATTTAACCATTAGATTTAATCTCCTTTCCCAAAATAATCATAAAATATAATTTAATTAAAATTGAAATATAAAGTAAAAAGTTTGAGCTGATTTGAAGTACCCAGAGTCTGCAACCGGGAATCAATATCATGATTTTAAGTAAAAGCTAAAGACTTTGTGGGTGAAATTGGAATGCGGATCAAGTCCTTTTCGAAAAGGCATCAAAATCTTCCAAAATAAACATGAAATCAGGATTCTATAATAAAAACAAAATCTATAAGACCAATAATCAAAATTACAATGGCAGACTCAATTGAAGTAATATTATTGACTAAAATGGGTAGAGAAACAGAAAATATAAACATCAAATAAAAACCCATCAAAATCTTCCAAAATAAACATAAAATCAAAAGTTTAAAAACACCCAACAAAAACAAAATCTGTAAGACCCATAACCAAAATTACAAAGGCAGAGCCAAATTGAAGTACTATTGTGGACTAATGTATATAGAGATAAAGAAAATATAAACATTTGAGTTCATAAATTGTATCATTTAGTACCTCAAATAAAGAGCCCGGAGATGAAGATGCATTGAAAAGAGCATCAAGAACAGATGCAGATACCTGAATAACAGTCATTGCACTAAAAAATTATATGCATACAACATATATAGATATATATATAGAGAGAGAGGAGAGAGAGATGTACTTGAGGGGAACCCAAGAAGACGAGTTGCTTTTTCTTAGAGGAAGGGTTGAGAGCAGAAGAAGAAAAGGTTGCATTGAAACAGCAAAAGCGTCGAAGCATCAGTGAAGACGATTGCATTCCTTCTTCTTCAACACAACGGCTATGGGTTCGTGCTTAGGATTAGGCTATCACTCTCTCCAGATTTGATGTTCATCCGTTCAAGAGTAGGTAACAAAGGATTCGGTTCTAGTAAATTATACGTAATAAATTACTTTGATGTCTGCAAATCACATTTTGCCACGTTGTCAATAGATATACACCCCTATGTGTTATTCCTTTTTTTTTTTTTTTTTTTTTTTTTTTTTTCTATAGCTAACTTTTTTATAAAAAAAAATGAAAAAGAAAAAGAAAATATTCATATTTCAATCTGCAATTGTCACTTTGAAGAAGAAAAAAAAAAAAACTTAAATATCACTTGTGATGATGCAAGATTATGTTACGACTCATAACGACGCAGTCACCTGCAGAGAAGAAAAAGCATCGTCGAAAAGGCACCGGTACGGCACCGACTCAAGAGCCTCCGACGGTCAAGTTAGTACAAGACCAGAAAGATCAATGGACTCTCTTAGGGATATTGTTTGCGTACATTTTGAATTGGCTAGTTACCCTTTTAATAGAATAGATTATAGTATTTGATAAGGGAATTAATCTCCTTATTCTAGTACAATACGGATCTTAAGAACTTATCCTTATTCATATCGCTACGTAACTGTAGCTTACTAGACTTCTTGGCTTTCGTGTCTGTTAGAACTTGTGTATTCGTGTTGGATTGTAGAGACCTTATCATCAGTTGGCCCCCATTCTCATATTTAGATCTCAAACTAAGAGAATGTAAGGTGTTTGATTCCCTGGAAGATTAGTAGAAAATATATATATATATATATTTCATTTTATATATTTATATTATTGGGGCCTTCATGGCAAATGGAGGGAACTTCTCCGTCAAAGATAGCAATGGTCCATTTGTCATAAAGGTGCAAGAAACCTCCTTCTCAAAAAGGTGCAAGAGATCCCTTGTCATAAAGGTACAAGGGACCCTTTGCCAAAAAGGTGCAAGGGATCCCTTGTCATAAAGGTGCAAGGGACCCCTTGTCATAAAGGTGCAAGGGACTCCCTTGTCAAAAAGGTGCAAGGGACCTGTGCAAGGGACTTCCTTGTCAAAAAGGTGTAAGGGATCCCCTTGTCCTAAAGGTGCAAGGGACTCCCTTGTCAAAAAGGTGCAAGGGATTCCCTTGTCAAAAAGGTGTAAGGGATCCCTTTGTCATAAAGGTACAAGGGACCCTTTGCCAAAAAGGTGCAAGGGACCCCCTTGTCATAAAGGTGCAAGGGATTCCCTTGTCAAAAAGGTGCAAAGGGTTCCCTTGTCAAAAAGGTGTAAGGGACCCCATTGTCAGAAAGTTACAAAGGATTCCCTTTTTCCTTTACAACGTAGAAACCGGCATAGACCTTGTGTTACGGCCACTTACTTGTAGTTATAAAGAGAAAAACGTAGGGGACCCCTGTTAAACAACTTATGAGCCTCTGGTGTAGGCCTTGGATTGTTGCCACTTGTTTGTCTAGTAACGCAGGGACTCTCTGTAAGGGACTCCACTTATTTCTTTGAGACGGCTTTCGATGCTGGCTTACGGTTCCCTTTACCTAAATTTGTTAGGGAGCTACTCAGGTTCTTTAATCTAGCTCCCTCCCAACTTTCTCCAAATGCTTGGAAAACAGTTGTGGGATGCATAATTTTGTGGCATTTGTGCGGTAATACTCCTTTGACATTGAAGGAGTTTCTTCACTGCTTTCAACCCAGGAAGAAAGCTGGTGATTGGCTCAACTTTGCCCACCCACCTGACGCCTTGCTAGGAAAGCTTCCTAGCTACCCCTGAAAATGGAGATTGGCTTTTTTCTTTGTGTCCAGAGATGGTTGGGAGTTCGATGTGGGTGCCAGCCCTGAGGACAAAAGCCTTTATGTGCCCCGATCATGGAATGAGCCGAATCTTGCTGGTAAAAAGTTTATTTTATTTACTCTCCTCAGATGACTGTTTTGACTTAGTTAACACTTCTTACTTCAATAAATTTGACAATAGATCGTGACCTTACCGATGAAGAGCATGCTAATATAGCAAAAGCCCGTGCGTACCCGTTAAAAGTGTGGGCTGAGATAGTAAATCCGCAAACCATTGCTTCATTTGAACTCAATAACAGGGTTGTCGCAACACCCTCACCATAGTTGAAGGTATTGTGAGTTTATCTCTTGAGCCAAATTGTGCACTTCTTTTATTGTCTATATTGATTGTGTTAGCCCCCCTTGCAGCTGCACCGCCGATATTCGATCATGATGTGATTGAACAGCTTCGCAATAATGATAACACATCTCCACCGGCCAGGAGGAGAAAAAGGAATGGTTCAAATCAAGTAACTCATCCGTTTGCTGAAACTTCTTCGTTACAGGAGGCGTTACCTAACCCAAATTCGTTTTTGACAACCTTTAATGTTCCTACATAACCATTATTTCAGGACATGCTTAACAGTGAGAACCCTTTCAGCGGATCCGTTAAACCTTCGTTTACCCCATTGTTTCCCCAAGGAGAACCTCTCTAGGGCTGTTCTGGCCAATCTACAAGGCCCATTGCTTCATCTAAGCGCCAATCGGTCCTTCGTGATACTACCCTTGCTGCCCGCAGGATGGATAACTTTGTTATAGCAGATGATGTTAATGATTCGGAATTAGCTTCATTTGAGCAAACCTTGGATGCCGGCCTTCACGATCTGGGTCAAGTGAGTGTCCCTCCTTTGTTTACCACAGTATTATTATTATTATTATTATTTAGCTCTCACCGCTACCTTTTGTTCACAGGTTGCCACATACCGTACGAGTGTGTCGCACCGAGCCATAGCTTCCAAAATGCTGCTCAACAAAAACGAGGAAGAGTTTAATTCCACAGTATCTTTCCTTCGTGCGGCGCACGAATCAAGTCAAAACGAGGTTACGAGTGAAAAAGGGTGTCGAGAGAAGGCGGAGGTGGCTGAAGCGACCCTTACCAAAGAACTAGCAGATGTGCGGGCCAGCTATGACGCGCGCATCGCGGACCTCAACGCCGATTTTTCTACCAAGCTCGCCCTTGAAGGGCCATCTACTATTGCTAAATTCAAAACTTCCCCAGAGTTTGAGTATCTGAAAGCAAAGAATTTCAAGGATGGCTTTGAGTCTTTTCGAGCTGACGTTCTTTTTGCTTATCCAAATGTAGATTTTGGAAGTTTTGAACCTTTTCCGGCTGATTCAGATGATGCCATGGATGCTGAGGAGGAAAAGGAAGACGATGAGGAATAGCTTCCTGTTCCTCGGTTTATCTTTATGCAATTCCAATTCCCTTTACTATTGTAACGTTGAATATTGTCTTTTAGTCGTGAACCGAACTCCCATTATATGAGTAGTGTTATTGTATGAAGAACTCTATTATGATCTTGTATCACTTTGTGACAACGACTATGGGTTTTATATAGCTGGGCCCTTTATAGTACGAAGCACTGTTAGTCTCCCTTATAGTACGGAGATATTGATTGAGGAATTCATTCAGCCCGGGTCCTTTTAATACAGGACACTTATTTACCATCCCTTATAGTACGGGGACATTGATTACGGGATTAATTCAGCCCGGGTACTTTTAGTACAGAACACTTACTTATCATCCCTTATAGTACGGAGATATTGATTACGGGATTAATTTAGCCCGGGTCCTCTTAGTACATGACACTTATTTACCATCCCTTATAGTACGGGAACATTGATTACGGGATTAATTCAGCTCTGGTCCTTTTAGTACAGGACGCTTATTGACTATCCCTTATAGTACGGGGACATTGCAAATGTAAAGATAACTGACCAAGAGTTAACGCAACTGAGAGGAATTTTATTAAAAACTATCATTGCCTCAAGGCTTATTGAAAATGAAAGACTAAGTCGCGAATCGACCCGAAACTAACATTAAACATCAGGAAAAATAAAAGCTAACACTAATATTGAATTATAACTTTACTGATAGTACTTCCTTAGGTGTTCTGCATTCCAAGGGTGGTCAAGTTGCCTTCCCCCTTAAGTCTCTAGCCAATAAGTGCCTTGTCTTTTTGTACGAATAACCCTATAAGGCCTTCCCAATTGGTGGTAAGTTTGCCCTCGTTAGGCTCCTTAGTTGCCTGAGTCACTCTACGTAACACAAGGTCACCGGGTTGGAACCTCCTTTTCCTTACACGAGAGTTATAATATCGAGACATCATTTGTTGATAGGCTGCAACTTTGATTTGAGCTTGTTCTCTCCTCTATTCAATTAAATCCAAGTTGACAGCTAGTTCTCTTTTATTCTGGAGTGGATCATAGTGTTTGGTTCTGAAACTTGTTACACTAGTTTCCACTGGAATTACTACTTCGCTCCCAAAGGCTAAAAGAAAAGGAGTTTCACCTGTCGAGGTTTTTGTTGTAGTTCTGTAAGCCCATAATACACCAGGCAGCTCCTCTGGCCACCCTCTTTTGCTTTCTCAAGTCGCTTCTTAATCAAACTGAGTATTGTCCTGATGGCCACTTCTGCTTGCCCATTGGCTTGCGGATGTCCGGGCGATGAGTAATGATTTCTTATTCCTAACTGGGAACAAAAATCTTTGAAGACAGCACAATCGAACTGCTTACAGTTGTTTGACACAATGACATGGGGAACTCCAAACCTGCACACTATAGACTTCCAAGTGAATTCTTTGACATTGTTTGCCGTGATAGTGGCCAATGGTTGAGCTTCTACCCACTTGGTGAAATAGTCGATTGCCACAACAGCATATTTGGTTTGGCCTTTCCCTGTAGCCAGTGGACCAATCAGGTCCATTCCCCATTAAGCAAAGGGCCATGGACTTGACATCGGCACTAGCTCCTCGGGTGGTTGTCTAGGAACATTAGCAAACCGTTGACATTTATCACACTTCCTTACAAATTACAATGCATCTCTCTGCATGGTGGGCCAATAATAGCCTTGACGAACTGCCTTGTAAGCCAAGGATCTGCCCCCTGTATGATTTCTGCAAGCACCTTCGTGTATCTCTTTCATGATGTAGCGAGCTTCCTCTGCCGAGACACAACGTAAAAAGGGCAGACAAAAACCCCTTTTGTAGAGAACTTTATTGACAAGCGTGTACCTAGGTGCTCGAACCCTTACCT